TTACCACTCAATTTGTCTCATCCAGATTCAGTTTTCCACATAGAAGCTGGGGTTCCCCAATACCACAAACACTTTCAAAGATGTTTAACAAACCAGCAACTTAAGTGAACAGAAAAGGCCTTTTGTGATCCAGAGGTAACAGGTTCCCTCCTGGGACATACGTGAGACCCTCAGGAACAGTTTTGTTCTAATTCTTTATCCTGGTCAGACCAAATCTGGAGTACATAGTTAGGTCCTAATTGATAGAAATGATGAATTCCCAGAAATGTTTGCATTATTTGAATTTGCATTGCATATTTCCATTGTGCTAGAACCAATCACTGTATTTTATAGAATTATAACTTCAAATAGTATGAATCCTTATTACATATGATCACTTCATATAATTCATTAGTGGAGCTAATTAGGACTTAGTCATACTTGTATTCAGTTCTGCATTCTACATTTTAAGGAGGATGGTGAAAAGCTGTAGTGTCCAGAGGAAGGCAATAAGGATGGTAAAGGGCCTCAAGTGTACAAAGAACTGGAGCAATTTGACTTGGAAAAGGCTTGAGGTGTCTGGGGAAGATAAAATAACTATCTTTAAATATGAAGAATTAGATTTGTTTCTGGGGGCCAAACAAAGCACCATAGGTAGAAGTTGCAAAGAGACCAATTTAGGCTTGATTCAAGGAAACATTTCTATCAATGAGAGGTATGCACAGATGGAATGGGCCACCCTGGGGTGGGGTGTGTCCCTCAGCCCCGGAGGTCTTCATGAAAATCTGGATAAAAACTTGTTAGGGATGGTGTAGACCTTCTTACTTAGGTATGGGTTAGAATATACGGCCTCTGAAGTCTCTTCCAATACTTTTGGAATACAAATGTTTTCTACCACGAATGGCTTGTATCTGAAATCCTATGAAGCACCTGATTTAACTGCATGAAAAATGAAGCAATGTTTCTCTTCAGCAGATGAAATAGAGCTATGCTTTTATTGGTGTGGGCACTCCATTGACAGACACAGATCACAACCTCTCCGTGACTTAGTAGATGGTGCTAATATGTTGATGTGGCTCAAAAAACCTCATCACCTCGTGGCCTAGTCTTGTATTAAGCCTCTCCATCATGACTTGCTGTGGAGTATGTGCTGATAGTATGTGCACTTAACAGAGTGGCTCAGGACCAGGATGAGTTTGTGTTAATAGTTGCCATGGTCTCAAATAACCAGGATGTCTCCCATCCCTCACTGAAGCAAGCATCAGCAGAGCTTGATATATGTCATCAAGCAAAATCTGTCTGGTAAGGAAAAACAGGTTTGTACCAGTTTGGATATTTGGCCACATGTGTTTTTTCTTTATTTTTACTTACAGTACTCTGTTCAGATGAGAATGTCTAGCAAGTTTTTCTAGATTGAAGCTGCTAGGAGAAACAAACATTTATTTGAATGAAAAGATGAATAAAAATGATGAATGAAAAAAGAATGAAAAATATATGAATGAAAAAATATTTGGAAGTGGCAGTGTTCACGTTTTTCAACACATTTAAACAAAATTGGCCTTTTCTATGACCCAAGAATATCTACTAAAATGGCCTACTGAAAGAACTTGTCAAATTAACTAGTGGGGAATAGTTTGAAGTTCTTTAGTTTACATGTTATAACTACTTCCTAAGAGAAATAGAAGATTATTAGTATAATTTTTTATATGTTCAGAATAATGCCACATATGTATATTTTTAGAAGGTGCATGTAAATAACTGGGACTTACATTGACGATGATGTTTTACAACATTTGTATCAAAACAGTATTGTTTCACTTTTATAAATACTTTAGCAAGGATATTTCTAATTAGCAGCAATATTTCATAAGATAAATTTGCAATTTGGAAATGTTTAGTACCTTGATGTGTTTTGTACTTCACTGAATTGGGATAAGGACAATGATGAACTTTTGTTTACAGAGCAGTTTTTAACTCAAAACTCTTGGTCTAAAATAGATTCTTTAATGTTTATTCCCTCAAATTATTTTTGGTTGTATCCTAGAATGAAATTTAAAGATTTTGGCAAAAAATTATGCATAAACCACTTTGTCTATAAAGACTCAAAAACTGATAGCTCCAAGAGTTGCCTTTAACAAAAGTATTGTCTCAATTTAAACAGGTAATATGCAGTTTGTTTTTTTTTTTAAGGGAAAGCTGTTGCTTTATTTTAGAAAATGGACAATTTTTTTTTTTTACAAAAGGTTCTTGTCAAACCATAAAATACTACAGCTTTCTAAAATTTCCTTGCTGTGTTATTAAGTTAAAATGTCTAAAACAGGGATTACTAAGGCACTTTCGTGGGATCATAGGTTGAGCTGGTAGGGCTCATAAAAGGATTGTCTAACCCTCATTTTAGTGATGGCGAAATAGAGAAGTTGAGTGACTTGCCCAAGGTCACAAAGGTTGGGTAATATGGTGAATACAGCACTGGATGTGGAGTCAGGAAGAACTCAGTTCGAATCTAGCCTCAGACACGTATTAGCTGTAAAACCTTGGGCAAAGTCACCTAATAACTCTGTCTCAATTTCCTTATCTGTAAAATGTAGATATTAATAACACCTCCTCCCAGGGTGTTTGTGAGGGCCAAATGAGATAGCATGTTTGCTTTCCAAACCTTAAATTGCTATGTAAGTGCTATTATTATTATTATGCAGGTAATAATAATAGCTAGCATTTAAACAGTGCCTGCTGGGAGGTCGGTTCTATTATTATCTGCTTTTTACAGTTTGAAGCAAATAGAGCTTAACTGACTTGCCCATAACTCCATAGCTAGAATTAAAGTGAGATTTGAATCCACGTCCTCTGACTCCAAATCTAGTGCTCTTTCCACTACACCATGCTGACTTCAAATACATTTTGTGAGGTCTTCAGCACCTTCTTTTAGCCAGTAGATTTAAAAGTTGAGAACTGAATGGTGCCTGAATTCTATTTTTGATACTCACTATGATCTTTACTTAACTCAAGTGAGAAGAATTGGTAAAATATAACATTTCTGATTCAAATGGGTTGATTGTTGGTGGCTCATATCCAATTATGTCCTTTTCAGGTAAATTCTTTAAACCTTTCCCTCTTCAGATGATTTACTGATGGATCTATGATTTCATTGGTGTGGGTACTCTTTCCCTAAATGCTAAACTGTAATATTTCCAGGCCATTTTACACATTTTTGTTAACAAATCTTTCTATAAATCCTCCATAAAAGGCCTTATTTAGAACACTTCTATTTTGAAAGGTAACTTTCTTTTTCCTACAACCTAGTTAATTTTGATAGTATTTAAGTCAGTACTGTTAAAACATATGTTGGATTTTTCTAAAGTCAACAAGTATGTTTATACAGTGAGAGATAATTACAATTAAATTATTCTTTGCAAAGTACCCTTATAATACTTGGACTTATTACTATAATTTGGTTGCTTTTTATGGATAGGTTGCAGTTTCAGAAAATGACTTTTCTTGGTTTTTATTCTAAATTCATTATATGTTTAATCAAAGCTTCTGAGAAATTCTACTATATTCTCAAATGTCATAATGTAATGAACCACCACATGCCTATGGCTTCCTTTTTACCAAAATAGTTGAATTCTATTGTAGTTGACCTTTGTATTTCAGATAAAAATAGATCAGTTATCTGGTTCAGTTCATTGTAATTAAGTCTCTGGCATGGCAGACATGACCTTTAAGAAACTGTAAGTAGAAATGTATACTTTATGACTTGTTCAAGAATGTATTTCCTGCTGTTATCTGCTTTATTGGCACACCCCCCCCAATATTATTCCAGGGCAGGGGAATGCCTGAAACAGAGAAAGAGAGAGAGGGAGAGAGAGAGAGAGAGAGAGAGGAGAGAGAGAGAGAGAGAGAGAGAGAGAGAGAGAGAGTGTGTGTATGTATTTGTTGGAAACCTAATCAAAGCTGGTGGGTCACCATCATATACAACATGCCTAGACTGGCTAGGAAACATGTTACTGAAAATTTATTTAAGAGGGATAAGTATGCTCTTGAGAGGAAGTGTGGAATAGTGATAGAAAGATCTGATTCAAGCCTTGCCTGTGTGACTCGAGGAAAATCACTTAACCTGTCACACTGCCTCTAGGGCACCCTCTAAGACATGTTTCAGAGCAGCTGCTGATTTGCATTGGTAGAAGGAATTCTTTATCGATGTCCCCCCCCCCCAAAAAAAAGTTCTGTATAGTACAATAGTGGAAAAACCTCAGTTTAAAAACTTTCTTTTAGTTAAGGAAGAGAACCTAAGTGCTGTTCAGAAACATATACCCAATTCTGCCACCAGGGACAATGTCAGACCACCCTCCCTCTCTGGGAGAATAAAAATAATAATAAAAGTTAACATTTATATAGTGCATATTTTATGCCAGGCACTGTGCTAATTGCTTACAATTATTATCTCATTTGATCCTCACAACAACCCTGGGAGGTAGGTGCTATTATGATCCCCATTTTACAGATAAGGAAACTGAGGCAGCCAGGTTAAGTGACTTGCCCAGGGTCACATAGCTAGTAAGTGATTAAGGTCAAATTTAAACCTGGGTGTTCCTGACTTGAGACCTTGTGCTCTATCTGCTGTGCCACTAGCTGCCTCAGGGTACTCAGCAAGAACCTGAAGCAAATTTTTTCTTAGTAACAATGATCAAGTATTTTTTCTCACCACTTCATACTTTTAAGTTGGGAGCTAATTTGGTCCAATTTCCCTAAGAGAAATTAGGGACTATAGCAAATGTGAATGACCCAATTGTTTTAATTGATTTTGTATTTTTGGAGTAGCTTGGCTCTTTAAACCTACTTGTCTTATCATGGTCATCTGTTAAATAAATGTGTTTGTTTCTGATGCTGAACTGCTTTATTTTTAATACCATGAATTTTCATGAGATTTTTTGTACTGAACACATCACATTCAACCCCAAACAGAAACATCTTGGTTGAAGTGCTCAAACAAAACTGATTAAAAATAAGGTGCTAAGTCGTTATTGAAATTATTCACACTTGATAATTTAATGTTCAGATTTATTACTTTAACACATGTTCTATCTCTGGAACACTAAAATTGTTCCAAAGTTTAACTCATTAAAAACACAATTTACAAATATTTAACATGCCCTGAAAAATTTCCAAGTTAAGAATGAAAAAAAATATATACACTATATATAATCATATGCCACTGTTACAACTTCAAATTCCATCAGATCCACATTCAGTGGTGCTGACTTTTTTTGGTTCTTCAAGATCTGAAAGAAAAAAAAAAGATAAATGGACTTTTATTTTTATTTAGAATTTTCCTTTAAATAGACTCTATCTATCTATATCTAAGATCATAAAAACTGCCAAGAGCCATTCTTAGTGACTTAGGCTATGTGTTAGAGAAAATGTAAAATTCTTCATTAAGGTGGAAATGGAGACTAAGTTGCTAGGCTTTAAAAAGATGCATAAACTGATTTAAAAATCCTACCTCTGCAAAGATGTTATCTTTACTGACAGGATTGTTTAACTATTTCTTTACAAAAAAGCAAGAAAGTCAAAACTAATTTATATTTAACACTTAAAGTCCACAGTTCTTTTAAATGTTCAGAATTTTAATGGAATTATACATTTGCAACAAATGGAAGAGGACCGATAAAGATTTTTTTTCCTATCAGTGCTCTGTGGAGCACACATTGCTCATTGAACATGTACGACAAAGATAAGCAAAAATCTTGAGAAATCATATAACCTGCTCAAATCAAGGAAGTAGATTTCTCAAACCAGGGGAAAAACTAGGAACTCACCTTCTGTTAAATCTATGAAGCTGTTTTCTATGACAGGAGAAGGAATTGAAATTCCCATTGCTTTCCGGATTCCATACATGCTCACTATGTCACCTGGGGTTACTTGCTGTGCAAGTTCTTTTAGATTATTGGTTACTTGTTCGGCTAGGGAAAAAAACATGGAAATTAAATGGAAATTAAGCTTGTGATACTAAACATTGTTGTTTCTAAAGATAATTTCATTCAAATCCAAAAGAACACAAGTTGTATCTGCCTTTGTTTGGCACTATGCACTAATTTGTTCATATCACTACTTGGCAAGTTCATCAATTACAACAAAACCCCCCAATACTGCCATATTTTTACTAAGATGACCAACATACCCAAATACATCTCTCTGTAAGATGGTCCCAAAAGACAAATCATATTAGGAGGAGGTCTGGTACTTAGACGTTCATTCTGAGCCTCCTGAAGTTCTCTGAGTAATTTGGTGGTTTCATCAAGTTTCCTCTGGAACACTTCAGCTTCTGGGTTGTGAGAAAGGAACATGCTGAAGAAAATGAGGCCTGCAGGGAACATTCACCACCCGTTTGACACGGTGCAGGGCTATAATGGGACCTTGTCATTAAGTGCAAAAAGTTTATACATTATCTTTCTCGGGGAAGAACACAAATGAACTTGGTCAAAGAAGTTCAGCCTTTTTTATTCCCTGCCCAAGATCACCTATTGCTTACTCGGGGTTAAAAATGAAGTAGTTCCTAACTTTTGAATACGGGCAACAATTAAAGTTAGATTTCCTCCCCTTTCCCTTTGATAGCTACATTTATTCTGTGCAATGTTGGAGCTAAATGAAATTTAAAATGACAGTGTTCAGTATGCATGCAGAGTTGTGGACTTCTTGCAAGAACTCCATGTCCTCCTCTGAGGGGCTTGTAGCACAAAGGTTGGAAACTACTGCTCGCTCCTGTATGGTATTAGCGTTCTATGATTAGTTTCACCACTGTGATCAGGACACTTACCTTCTGAGTCAAAAATCTCAATCTGGGCTCCAAAGTTTGTGACTGCCTTTAGTGCTGTAAGTCTGTCCTTATTAGTACTACAGTCCAAAGAGCCAGATGAGTCTGTTTCTGTAACCTGTCAAAAAACAAAATAAAAACCAAAAAACCCTCCTCCATTTGTTTAAGCCTGTTAAGTTGGATGACTGCAAAGAGAAGATGAATAAGATGACTTATGGGAGAACTCTGCCTAGGCACATATTTGTACTTAGTAGTCATAATTTGAGTCTGGAAAAATGGTTTTATAAGCATCCTTTCAAGATGCCAAGCTCAAACCTGAGGAAAAATATGTCCATAAATCTTGTCATCTACAGTATCCATAATGTGTTTCTTAATGTAATCTAAACTAGATCAGGAATAGACAACCATTTTGTTTCACTTGTAATTTTTAATACGAAAACAGGAGGATTTGCTAATTCATCCTCTTAGTGTTAAAATAGATATTTCTTTGCTATCAGGCTATACAGTGATCATGTTTGAGTTTTTAAGAGTAGATAGTTAATATAAGAGGTTTTATAGCTCTGGATATTAGGCAAAATATCAGGACTGCCTGGCAGAATGAAACCTATTTTTAAAATACTAAGGTTTTAGTTTCAGAATCAAAACACTTAAATTCAATTTCTTCTTTTTAGGAACAGATTAACCTAGAAAAAGTGTTTGTTACTAGGACAACAGTAGTCATTTTAATATACAATGTTACCAACTAAGCCTTTTCAATGATTATTCTTCAGATAAATATATTTTTAAAAATGATATATAGTTACCTCCATGTCTTTTGCACTGTCAAGACTACCATTCTGGGTTTCACCTTCAGGCACTGGCTGCAAAGGAAAGAAAAAAGAATCTTCTATTGTTAAATCAATAAAAAAGGAAAACTATAGAATGGGAACACTTGTACATGCTGTAAAATTAAGAGGCATTAGGTATATAGCAAAAGATAAGCTGCAAAATACTGTATTAAGACATTTTAAACTGATGCTTTGAAATGACATAGATGCTTAGAAAATGGCCATGTAATTGTAACCTTTTAGATATTTTGAAAGATGGATGCATCTATCTAATGATTTCAGGATTGATAGCTCTGCCTAAAAGAAAAAAAAACTCACACATTCAGAAACTACTGTTTAGTTTTTAGTCTGATAAACCAATGACAATGGGGGAAGAGAATCTTAGGCTCTGCTCTGTTAGCCAAGGTGATGGGTTCACCTGTTTTAAGATTACCACAGAGGAGGAATTTTCTCTTCTTTAGACTCTTTTAGAAAGTGGCCTGGGGAAAAGGAATCTAGTATTGGAGTTCTATAAAAAGGTCACACTTTTTTATTTGGAAGCATTTTAAAAAATGCACAGATCAGTACAGAAGGTAGGCCAGAAAGAAATAGACAACAAGAAGGGCCAGCTTTGTAAGTTATATGTTCAATTTATTATATATTTGAAAGGAAAAGCAAGCTATATGTAATAAGATTACATGACTTCATGCATAATTCTCCCTTTCTGTTCTACTTTATATATTTCAAAATGTTCATTTTATTTGATGTTAAGAAGAAAAAAAAGTGGCCTGCATAATGTATCTTTGTCACCATAGGGCCCCATACTAAAAGCCAAATGATGTTTATACAAACCATCTATTTGAAATTATATTAAATCGCGATTAATTCAAGCTAATGGGAGAGGAAATATACCCTTCTGGAATGATGAAACATTTAGTAGAAATAGCACTTAAGTTGGGCAGAGAAAGAGGTTTACTAGAATTTCTGAATAGAGGGATATTTTCTTCCTCTGTCTAAACATAGCAATTGACTAGCCATTAATATGCTCTGAACAGCAAAGTTGAAGAGTTGTTAGTTCCCAAAGAACAGCAGCAGGCAGCAGCAATGTACAGACAGAGGAAGTTAGTGAAAATCAGCACTACATATGCTGTACCTACAACCTTTGAAAGTGTTCTTGGCACTCAAGGCATCTTTCTGCCTCTTGGGGCACAAGAAGCTGCAGAGGTAGCACTGAAAGCTTTACTAAGAGTTGGACACTGAAATGACTGAACAACAACAACCGTTATCAGTGGGGTAAGGAAAAGTTTTCTTCACAAAGTTTGTGTTGCTTTTACTTGTAATGTTCAGTTTTCTTACTCTAGGCCCAGCACTCTATCCACTAGCTGCTTCTACTAGTAACTGTAGCCATGTGAAACTATTCCAACTCTTGGTTTGTGGCTAGGAGACAGATTAAATTCCTGTTTACATGCAGAACTGTGTGTCTGATAAAGCAAAAAGTAGGCTCTACATAATTATAAACCAGTTTAATTTCAACAAAGTTAGCATACAAACTGTTTCACAATCCTATACTCCTAAGGATGAGGAAAACTAACGGAGACTGAAGTTCAAGTTCAATTCTTGAAACGTCTCTAAACCAGAAATCCTGGCAGCTGAGTTATTAGTTTCCGCTCATTGTCCTCCACCCATGACCTCCACCTTCTGTGGGTGGGGCTGTTTTTTTAAGATGAAGGGAATTTGGTTTTGATATTGGTTAATGCCATAGTTTCATAACACTGAGCGACTGATGCTTGGGAATCATGATGAATTGTCCTATCTTTATTAATTGGAGTTCTTACCGTTTCCAGCTCTCTGAGGGATCGAGAATGTCCTCCTTTTGTCAGAACATCCAGTAAACTATCTGCCATAACATATGGATAATCTTGTGATGTGGCCAAAAACTCATGAATACTAGGAAAGAATTGTAAAAATAACTTTCACATAAATTATCTCTATAGGCTTAATCTTGTCTACCATGGCTAATGATACAGGACAAAGAGAAAATCACCATAACCTAAGGAGCAATTATTCTAACATTATGTTCAATAAGACTAGGATTTTCTTATTTTCTAGTGATCTCTTTACTACTATATTCTGGAGACAGAATATAATGAAAACATTTACTGAAATGCTAATGGGAATGATATGGAAGATTTATACTACCTGCAGGTGGAATATAATTGTATGTCATTTAATTCAATAAATATTTCTTAAATGCCGATGTGCCAGGTGCTGGAGAGAGGGAAAAAAAATAAAAAATTCCTGGCCTCAGGGAGCTTAAATTCTATTGGGGGAAGGAGGAGAAAAGACAGATAAATAAGTACAAGGAAACCTGAGGGGTGAAAGAATCCTGACAACTAGAGGGGACCAGGGAAGGCTCCCCAGAGCAGGTGGCACCTGAGTCTTGAAGAAAGATAAGGACTGAGAGGAGGAGATAGGAGAGGGCATTTCAGGCATGGCCAGTCATGGGGATGGAATATGGAATGAGGGTCTTGAAAAGCAGCTTGGATCTAGTTTTGCTAGAACATAGAGAGCATGAAGAGAAATAACATAAATAAGCCTAGAAAGGTAAGTTGTAGGCAGACAAGGGAGTGTTTTAAAGGTCAGATTATCCTGGAAGCTAAAGCCTTTAAAGTCTTTAGGCAAGGTAGTGTCATGGCTAGACCACTGACTGGAAAATTATTTTGGCAACTGTGTGGAGGTTGGATTGGAGAGAAGCAAGTAGAAGAAGTATTATTCTAATAACCTCCTCAGCAAGGAGACTATTAGAATAGTCCAACAAGAAGATATAGGAGCATAAACTAGAGTAGTGGATGTGAGAGATTTTGAGCTGCAGTCAAGACTCAGCAATTGTTCACTATGGGAAGGTGAGGGAAAAGAAAGAGTTAAAGATGACCCGGAGATTCTGAACATACACATACTGGAGTACCTTTCAGAGAAATGGGGACATCTGAAGCACAGGCAGGTTGAGAGGGAAAAATGATCAGTTCTGTTTTGGACATGTAGAACCTGAGACACACATCTAGGTTAAAATGTTCAGAAGCTGATTTGGAACTTGAGTGCTGGAGAGGGAGAAGGGTTGGATATGTGGATCTGGGAGTCATCTGTATAGTAGTAGTAATAGTAATAGTAGTAATAGTAGTAGTAGTAGTAGTAGTACTAGTTGTTGTTGTAATAACTAACATTTATCTAGCACTTAGTATGAGCCATATTTATAGTTGCTGATGAGATCATTAAAATTACTAAGTAGAGAAAGAAAGTAAGCTAGGACAGAGACTTGGGAAGACATCAATACTTAGGGATGGACTATGTATGACAATCCAGCAAATGAGTTAAGAGTTAACAGGTAGGTGAACTAGGAAGACAGCACTGTCATGGAAAACCAATGAAGAGAAAATGTAAAGGAGGAAGAGCAGGAGCTGGATAACATTATCAAAAACTCCAGAAATGCTATGTAGAAGGAGGAGTAAAGGCTGTTAAACCTGGAAGATGAGAGATCACTGCTAACTGCTGAGAGGGAAATTTCATTCCAGTGGTGGGGCTACAACCCAGATTTCAAATGACAAGTAAGGAATGTGGAGATATTGAGTGTAGCTAACTGTTTTCGGGTGCCTAGCTGTGAAAGGAGATAGGATGATAGCTTGAGGTGAAGGCAAGATCAAGTGAAAGTTTTTTAAGTATGGGGGAGGTTTTAGTATTACAGGTAGTGGGGAAGGAAACAGTAACTAAGGAGATTAAAGATGAGAGTGGAAAAGGCAGAAAGAGGAAGCTCCTGGAGGAAACTAAAGGGAATGAGATTAAGAGTACAAGTTGAGGGGCAGCTAGGTGGCGCAATGGATAGAGCACTGGCTCTGAAGTCAGGAGGACCTGAGTTCAAATCTGGCCTCAGACCAAACACCTGACACTAGCTGTGTGACCATGGGCAAGTCACTTAATCCCAACTGCCCCCCCCCCCCCAAAAAGAGTACAAGTCGAAGATTTAGCCTTGGCAAACTCACCTCTTCTTCAAATACTGGAGCAAAGGAGAAGATAGATGACAACATATCAGAGTAATTTTGAACTACAGAGTAGGGGAGTTGAGGGAGCTTACAATGGATAGCTTCAGTTTTCTCAGCAGAGTAGGGGTCTAAATTTTTTGATGATAGGGAGAGGGGATGGGTTGCATAGAAGGCTTGAATATAGATGAAAAGGTCTGGAATAACTATTGTAGGGATAGACAATCAGGGAAGAATAAAAAAGACTGCTTTATAGCAATGAGGGCTTAATTGGAATTAGTTGGCACATTAGCGTGTCTTCATCTGGTGGTGGTCAGAAGTAATGGAGTTGGAATAGAGACGATGAAGAGTGGGAGTAATATGGGGTCAGGGATTAGAAGAGCACGTGGAAGGACAAAGGAATGGGGGTAAAAGACAGGACATAGTCGAATTGGTCAACTATAAAGTCAAAGAAAGGTAAAACCAGAATAGGAGTGATAAGACTTGGGAGAGAAGGGAGGTGAGGAGAGACTAGAGGTTAGGGTGAGGACAAAGAACAGGTTTGAGAGGAATGAGGCAGATTATGATCAGAGAGGGTAATCTGGAGGTCAGAATTATGGAGATGGCATTGTTATGGGTTACAGTGAAACCTGAGGTATGATTATCACTGTATATGGGTGAGGTTGAGAAAAGAAGTAGGTCAAGACAGTTGAGGTTGATGAACTGGAGACCAGGCTGCTCTAGGTGACCATATATATTAGAGATGAGGTCAGGGACTGGGGCAGACAGGAAGACTCTGAACCAGGTACTAAACTTGAGAAAGGAGTTAGAATTCTAGAGGCAGGTAGAGTACAACAAGAAGATTCTAGACTAGGTGATATAGGTGAAGTGAGCATCAAAAAAGGGATAGGTTGCAGAATGATGGCTGCAGGAGAAGGATCTGGATAGAAGTGACAGTAGGAAGGAATATACCTCCCCCTGGTCCAGTATATATTGGGGCAAGGAGTTAAAAAACAGTGGGGCTTCCTGTTGATATAAGCCCCTGGGGACACTTCTTGGTTCTGACCAATCACCTCTGTTTTCTTTTAAAGAAAAGTATTCACCCACTCCCTTTTCTAATCCTACAATCTGAAGCTTCTGACCAAGTTTTCTCTCTTATCCAGCATACTAAAAACAAACAACTTCACCCTTATCCTTTTGACCCTAAGGAAGCACACAACCCCAAGATTTTCTAAGGGTAACAATAGGAAATAGAAAAGGAGTTAAAAGACTTTATCATAATCATACTGTTCCCTTTCCTCTCACCACTGAAAAAAAAATTTGTCCTGGTAGGGGAAGATACTTCATTGGGCACTGATTGTACAAAGGACTAATGTAATATTACTGTACATTTCAGAGGAAAACAAACTTTTTCTGATTTAGGCATTTCATCAAAGACTCTACATGGGGGCTAGAAAAAAAGGAGAAGCCTCTGAGGTTCACCCACCTTTCCTCCTTCTCAGTCAGTTCTGCCACCTCATCCCTGAAAAGTGAGAAGCCAGATAGAGAAATTGGGGGGAGAGGGAACAGAAATCCCAAGGGTAGCAGTTCATATTTAAATGTCTAGTTAAGTTGGGTACTCTCTGCACGTGGATAATTTTGTAATTCAAACAGAAGAATTTTAGGGACATAAATACAAATCTTATTGGCATGTAATTATTTTAGGAAAATGTAGTGCCAGAATACTGATGAATTGGTGACTCACCTGAAACCACCTGGAAGATTAGAATCTTCCCCATAAGTTGTGTAGATTAAATCAGAATCATCCTTGCTGATATTTGCAAATGTGGAATCGTAGTTTGGCGCATAAGAACTGTAGGGTCCATAATTCAAGTATAACACTGTTGAATAATAAAAAACTCAACACTACTACTTTGCTTTTTTACAATACAAACTAGCCTATTTCTGTGGATTACTGCCTTGAACTAAAGATATGTAATTTTTTCCCTCCCTCAAAGACAGTCACAAAGTTATATTCTATACGTAAAAGTCAACACCCCCAAGTGTATTCTTAAAGTTGACATTCAATTTTTGACAATATGAATAATATATTTAAAATAGATAAGGTTACATGATTTTGCCAAGATTGTTAGACATGGTGTTCTCTCTCTTAACTTCCTCCTCCCTTCAGCACCTAAAGGGAGAATGACATAAACCACTATTCCCAGGTCTCACCTGGAGTAACTTTATTTCTTTTGTCCTCTTTGAACCCCTGCAGTGTATTAACTCCAGACTGAAGTCTTCCTGTCGTCATTCCCAATCTTACAGGGCAGTAGCCAGGTTCTGAAGAATAAATTCAAGCATGAGACAGATAAACAGGTAGCTGTTTGAAGAACTAAATTTACTGCTGTATCTAATATCAAGGGTCTCATTCTAAATAATAAGACTCAAAGGCTGGACAAATGCTGTAGACCTTTTAATAAAAATTTTTTTTTTGTAACAAACTTTTTTTATATTTTGTTTTTCTGAATTTGGCAATTACCAACAAACCTGAACATTTCCAAATATAAAGAACATAAAATGTATCATATATGAAACCACAGATCTCATTACATACAGCTTAAAAAATACATACACACACACATGCCAAATTTACTAAGTTTTTTTTTTAGTTTTAAAACAGGGGTTAACTTTTTTGCAAAAAAAAAAAAAGTTTTGATAACTGTATTTCAATATAATTGGCTCCCTTTGTAATCCTATGTATTTTATTTTATGCATTCAAAAACATTATTCTGAGAAGGGGTCCATGTCACAAAAAACGTTAATAATTTGTTCTAAAAGGTATCCTGCTTAACTCTTTCCTTCTAAACCTCCTTCCGTTCATTAAAAGTTTCATGGACACTTCTTCCTTCTTTCCTTCCCTGCTTCTTCTGCCCCCCATCACAACATTAGCATTATTTTTGACTCTTCACGTTTCCTCACCTTATATATCCAATCTGTTGCCAAATTTCATTGTTTCTACCTCCACATCTCTTTCATCTGTCCATTTTTCCATACTGACATTGCCACCCTAGTTCAGGCCTTCATCATCTCTCACCTGGACTACTTCAGCTAGCCACCTTCTAACTAGTCTCCTTGCCTTAAATCTCTCCTTTCTCCAATCCATCTTCCAGAGAGCTGCCAAAGTGATTTTCTTCAAGTGTAGATGTGACCATATTCCTCCCTCATCCAGCTCTAATGCCACTGCCTTTAGGATCAAATATAAACTTCTGTTTGGCTTTTAAAGCCCCAGCATTGCTCTGTGCTCCTCCTCCCCTCTTTGTAGAGCAGCAATGCTGGCTTTCTTGCTGCTCCTCCACCATTCTGTAAGATTGATGAAGCACCTACCTAACTAATTGCATGCCACAGCATTGTGCCGAGAGCCAGGAAATAAAAACACCGTAAGTGATACCAATTTCACTCACAAGGAGCTTAAGATTTCTTTAAACACACTTCATTTTTTTTCTTCCAGCCTTTGCCCTGGATTGTACATTATTGTTAGATATGGTGTTCCTCATGATTGTAATGTACCACTCCTTCACCTTTGCCTCTCAGAGTCCCTTGTTTCCTTTAAAAGTCTGCTCAAGGGGCAGCTAGGTAGCACAGTGGATAGAGCCCTCATCCTGGAGTCAGGAGGACCTGAGTTCAAATCCGGCCCCAGATACATAACACTCACTAGCTATATGACTCTGGGCAAGTCACTTAACCTCAACTGCCTCATACACACACACACACACAAAGTCTGCTCAAGCAACAGTTCCCATAGGAAGCCCTGCCTAGTGCTCCAGCTACTAGTGTCTTCCCTCTAAAAAATTTATCCTGTACATATATTTTGTAAATATTTATGGACGTGTCTCCCTTAATAGAATGTAAGCTCCATGATGGTAAGGATGATTTCATTTTGTCTTCTTCTCTTTAGACTCCAGCACACTCTAGCCTAATAAAACCTTGAACTAGCTGGGGAGTCAGGAAGAGCTAGCTTTAAGTTCCTTCTTCAATACATGTTGTGGCAGGAACAATCAGGGTTAGCTTTTAGAAAAATAATCTATGTAAACCATGATAATAATGACAACAGCTAGTTTTTATATAATGCTTTAAGGTTTGCAAAGTGCTTTATAAATTTTGTCTCATTTTATCCTTGCAACAACCCTGGGAAGTAGATGCTGTTATTCCCATTTTACAGATGAAGAAACTGAGGCAGATAGAAGTTAAGTGACTTGCTTGGGGTCACACAGCTAGTTAAGACCACATTTGAATTCAGGTCTTCTAGACTCTAGGTACAGTGCTCAGTCCACTGTGCCACCTAGCTGCCTCTAACCAGGTATTTAAAATTAAGGTGTGGGGACTGAGTATGATGTAATCAGAAAAATCTGGAGCACTGAATAGGTAACCTTGGAGAAAAACTTGGCCCATGTAACGCCAACAACATTCCCTGGACCCTCCCTCACTTTACAAATAAGGAAACTTAGGTCTAGATAGGTCAAGTGACTGGCTCAAATATCACAAAGCTAGAATGGAAGAGCTGGGAAATGAACTTAGATCTCCGGATTCCTTCCTGGTCCAGGGTGAATTTTCTTTTCTTTTTTTTGGGTTAGGCAATGCGGTTAAGTGACTTGCCCAGAGTCACACAGCTAGTATTATGTGTCTGAGGCTAGATTTGAACTCAGGTCCTCCTGAGTCCAGGGCTGGTGCTCTATCCAATGTGTCACCTAGCTGCCCCTAGGGTGAATTTTCTTAAAAAATAAATTAATTTGCTGACCAAGATGGCTGCCTGGGTAGTAGAATGACAGCCTGGCTCCATTATACCTACTCTAGTAAAACCCTAAAGTTCACACCAGACTGAATAATGAACAAGAAAACCAATGAAAAACTATAGGAAGCAGCTTGTTCTAACCCCAGCACTGCACAAGAAGTGATCCATAAGCCTGAGGGCAAGAGGAAAAGTATGCTGGAAAAATCAATGAAGAATATCCCTTAGAATGACTAGAAACCGATGAGAGACATATGTAGTTAGCAAAGCTCCGTCCAGAAACAAATAAGAGTGGAGAGCTCCCCTGTGGAAAGGGTAGAGGCCTCAGAAGTCCCAGGAGTGGCATTTTCTCTATTTAAAACGCATGATACTAGCCACTCTTTTTGAACTATGATTTATTTCTTAGATTTAGATAAAAACTTTACTTTGAACAATTCTTATCCAAAAGGAATCTGGAGTTTAAAAAAATGAATTTTTGTATTGAAAAAAGCATTATCTTTTCTTTTTTATACTTGCTGGTAATTTGTATAAATTCACAAAAGTTATGTCCTCAATTATTCTGTTGAGTATTGAAAGACTGAAATGAATTAAATTCCAACATTAAGATAGTTCTGGAGCATTTATTGTGCCAGCACTGCTTCACTAGCCTTATTTAATAAAAGGGTATCCACGGGGCATATTTAGGTGAACTCATAGATTTCTTTCACATTTCTAAGTACAATAATGCAAGATCATTTGTTCAAAAGATATGTTTTAAAGTGACAAATCCTTACATCAAATTCCTTGGTAATTTGTAGATGTTTCATTAAAAACAATACCAACTTGTCTTAAAGAAACCAATTCAAAACACTCAAATCTAGAGTCAGAAGGGGCCTCAGAGATCACCCCATCTGATCTCAAATGAGGAAACAGAGGCCCAGATGGGCTAACTGAATTGCTCAAGGTCATCTAGCCAGTTACAGGCAAATCTGGGATTACAAAACTCACTCTAGTTTCTTTGCACTATTCCACTGTATCCCATTCAAAAAATATTGTCCACGTAGATATAGTACATACAGTGGGAAAAGCAAGCCTTGGGAAGAGATAAATTGGCCAGATGTCAAAGATGGATCACTTTCTCAAATGAGAGAGGATAAGATTTTACAGCATAGTAAGGAAAGATTACTATTTACTATAGGTCTTACCTGAAGCAATGAGTCACACTTTAGCAATGTAATGTGAACCAGGACTTTGTAATTGCAAAAGTACTATGTTCTAGCATAGATATCAATCCCACACATTTATTTTACTTGTGAGAGTGGCTGCTGAATAAGAAATAAACTTTAAGCCTCTAAAACAATGATTTAAAAGCTTTAAAAAATTTAATTTTTGGTTTTTCACATCCTATATTAAAAGATGTGGTGAGGATATTCAAATTGTGGTATCAACTCCTTACAATAGCATTGCATGAATACATATATGTACACACATATACATAAAAAGATAGTGCTATATGGCACTATCTGATGGTACTGACTGACAATAATGTATCCAGGAGGCCATAACCACTGGTTTAACTTTTGATTTTGAGGGGGGAAGAAAACAAACAAACAAACAAAAAAAACCCTCTGCTATGATGAATGCTCACCCAGAAGGGGTCTGGAGACAAAAAAAAAAAATGAACTTCTGATTGTTCAGAAAAGGCACCACTTCTTCCTTTAATTTTAAATTTTCTAATAATTTGTATAAAATTCATAAAAGTAATACTTTTGGGTTAATTTAAGTTAATTTGTTTTGAGAATTTAAAACTTTAGAGATACTTTTTGAAATAAAGGGAACACCCACAAGGTCATTTGAAACTAAGGTTGGGAATCATGACTAAGACATACACTAAATGTTCTAGAGGTTTCTTTACTTTCTAAGTGAAGGTCACTCTTTTATATCTACTTATTTTAGATTTAACTGGAAATTGAGTTAGTGATCATTAACAAATCTCTAGTATATAACATACTGGCTAACTAAGTTTTTTAGGGGTAAAATGTTGGTTCTGACACTATTTTGAAGGAACACTAACCTCTATCAGTAACCTCCATGCATTTAAGAATAGAGTATCAGGTTTTTAGCTTGGTTTTCTGTTTGAAAGACATACCTCCTACAATAGGGTCCACAGGATTAAGAAGTCCTAATGTTGTGGTTCCATCTGGCTTTCTTCTTTCAAACTCACACTAAAATGAAATAAAACATTGAAATGAAGGATTAAACTGCCTTATTATAGGCTCTGGGGATTTCAGACATATGACATAAAGCAGGAAGAAGCTTGGCTTTAGTTTTACTAAAAATAATGCCATGACAATTAGCTAACATTACTATTAATTAAATTCCCATATCCATATGTACAATGTTGCTCAGTATAAAGGGACATCTATTAATGATGTCGTGAAAAGTCACATATGTTTTAAATCTTTCACTTTTAAGTCCATTATCATCAAACAACATTATTTACAAAGAAAAAAAGATTAGCATTAAGATTTAGTTACAAGAAATAAGTATTGTTTCATTTTAGAGTATATTAACAAAGTGATTCACTAAAACTTAACAAGAAAATAGGATATTTTATATACAAATGTATTATTACTTTTTTGAGGTTTTTTTTGTTAGTGACAAACTACATGACTGGAAAGGATGAATAGAACCTGTGGAATCAAGATATCAAAAGTCTAAAAAATGGACATAAAATAATAACAAGAATCAACAAGAATGGAGGGGCAAGCAATAGAAAAGGCAAGAAAATATTTATCACCTGACTATTTATAAGCCGTCTGGTCAACTTTCCTCCAGATTCTTTAACAATGCGGTCGATTTGTTCTTGTTCCCTTTCTAAGTTATTGCTTTTAAGTTTATCTTCCAGCATATCTTTGTCTTTCCTGAAAACACACATTAATACCAAGTAAAAAAAAGAGAAATAAATGGAAAAAGCATTAAGATGAATTCCAAATATGGCTACAGCTATAGTGGAGAAATGCGCCCTATTGCCGCCAAATGAAAATTCCTTCATGATTTGTTAAAAGGATCCTAAACACTCCATAAATATCAGAAATTCAAACTCAATATATAACTTAGTTTTCTCTTCAGTGCCCTTAGTAATAGAATTAATGGTACAGCCTTCAAAATGAATTCAATCTCAAGCTTTAAAAAACAAAATAAAAATAAAATTTGTGATTCTTAAAATTTTACTAATATTAGAAATACACCAAGGATGGTTTGTTTGTTTCTGTTGTTCTTTTTGGCCAAGAAGACTCAGAAAAATGTTCATTTTTGTCACAGCTGCATTTGGTAGAAAATGTTCCTGTGTGCAATGAAGTGAATCTTTTATATATTCCTTTCCTAAATAATCAAAGTGAGCTAACTGGCAGATACATGGCTGGGGTGGGAAGAGGAGTGGTACCCACAAATATTTCACTATTCTTCTGTTTAAGAAGTGCTATAACACCACTTGGGATTATTCATGATTCTTTTTAAATAAACCATAGACAGGTCAAACTTAATGAAAAAAAACCAAAACAAAACCAAACCTGGCAATGTTTCGTTGCTAACATGTTTCTTAACTACCTTAATAAGAAAACCTGTTTGAAATGGCTTTGTAAACTAAGTTTGGACAATCACATAATACTACTTTCTATGGGGATGAGGGAAAAGGAGGAGAAGGGATGAGAGTAACATGTTATTAAGTCAGACTTTCTTGATGTACATCATACATACTCCCTGTCTGATAGCCGAAACTCAATGATCATGCCTTAACTTCCCTTAGTTACAACCAGTAAGGCCTGGTTATTTTCCTACAAGAATTTAAGGAGGTGCTTTACTTTTTATTTTCCTTATTTGGACTTTTGAAAACTTTAATATCATTGTCCAAAGAATCATCTTTATCTTTTAGCAGATAGCCATTGTCTTCCCCGCTCTGCTGTATTTCCATTTTGTCTTTCTGCTTCCGGGTCTTCTGTAAGTCAGCCATGAAGTCTATACTCTGTTTCAGGCTCTGAATTCTTTCCTTAAAAAAAAAAAAATACACACACACACACGCATATATATTTAAGAATATTATTAGTGTCTTCCTGTTTTAATCCTCACTTTAAGTAAACTTTTCCAAAGAGAGTCTATACATCAAACATTTTGCAGCTATTTGGCATGATGTCAACTAGGGAAGATAACACTAGCAATCAAAAAATTAAAAACAACACAATTATACCAAGAAGCATTATATTTAGAAACCCAGGCAGTAAGGTCCCCCTCTGAAAAAAAAAAATCAAACTATGAGTTTCTGTGTGTTCTTCTCTGAAAGATTCTTGAACTCAGTAAACTGGTAAAAGAAAAACATTTAGGGCAATTATTCTTTATTTTCCTTTGGCAAAGTCTCAAAATATTTATGTAAGAAAAAGCAGGAATTAAAAGTGTAGTTTGCAGGCCTAAAAAAAAAATCAATCAAATCTTACTTAAGAGATTAAAATATCATATTTATTACCAAGAATTAAGTTCTGCTATTTAAATATTAATTATATGCTAGTCTGAGGATACTGAGAGAATCATCAAGTTCATTCAACACAGGGACCTAGGGAAGACTTGGTTCTTTTTCTTTGTGAGGAAATAACATAATTTCAGGCATCCAAGAGGTTGCTATTATATTTTCTGCACCATAATGTAGAAAGAGTTACATTTTGCCTAAACTGTCCAAAGAAGTTTTCTGATCCTATTTTATGAATTTTATTTTCAAATGTCAACTGTGGCAATATATTATAATTACTTCTGTCACGCTTTCTGAGATAACTCCTAGAGAGAAAGCTTAGCTCCTTCCAGGTACCCAGTCATACGTGTGCATAGAGAATGGACCAGCAAAGTGTGTTGGCATATGGAGTCTATGTTTCACACATGGCCATGTATCCTACACCTTTACTTCTAGTAGCAGCCACAAGTTTATATATGGTGCCCCAGTATGGAGGTGTTAGTATAGGGATTAGGTATTGAATAAAAAACAGGGATCTTAGAGATTGCTTTAGGGATGAGGATACTGAAGCCCTTAAGACGTTGAAAAATTTGCTCAAGGTTTTGTAGTGAGTCACTGCCATATACTCATGACTAGAACCCTAACTTCCTGATTCTGAGTCTAGTATCCTTTCTCCTATACCACACTGAATGCCAATGTAAAATGATAAAAAGCTAATTCACAAAGGTTTTAGCTCAGAGGTAACCTCAATTTTTATTGTTAAAAATCAGCAGAGCTTACATGATGATAATTTCCAGTATTTTTTGAACACACACATACAAAAACTTCCAAAGTTTAATTTTTAAGTATTTACATTTTGGACACAAGAGGTAGCATGGCAGAACAGAGGACTAGGTGTGGAGTCAGAAGAGCTCAGGTTAAATCCCACCTCTGACCCATACCGGCTGTGTGTTCCACGCATTCTCTAGACAGACTACAGAGCATGTGTTAACCTGCACTGATAAAGGGGCTTTCTTTTCTTCTAGCAATGAAATTACAAGTCTAGTTCCTAAAACATCAGAGTGAGAGTGTGTGTGCGCCAATAAAAATTATTCATTTTAGTAACTTACATATGGAAGGTGTATTTTTTCTTGTTAATTAAAATTTCTCCTTAATTAACAAATCAATTACAAATTACACAATTTAGCAAAATGAAAGGATTTAGTTCTGTCCTGTCAGAAAAACAAAAAACCCTAGTAACCATGCCAGCTACTGATCTCTCTCTCTCTC